AAAATGGATAGAACTGGAAGTCATCATGTTAAGCAAAATAAGCCACACTCAGACAAGTGTTGTATATGGAATCCTTAAAAAAAGAAGAAACAAGCTGTCAAGTTAGAAAATGGACAGAAGATACGAACAAATATTTCACTAAAGAAGATATGCATGGCAACTGAGCACATAAAAAGATGTTCGACATCATTAAGAATTAGAGAAAAGCAAATTAAAATCACAATGAGATATCACTGTGTATCTATCAGAATTACTAAAATGGAAAACAGTGATAATACCAAAGATTAGTGAGGATGCAGAGCAAAAAGAACACTCATAAGTTACTGGTGAGATAATAAAATGTTAGAGTCCCTATGTAAAATAATTTGGAAATTCCTTTCATAACTGAAAATGTGCTCACCATATGACCAGCAATTACACTCTTAGACATACATTGAAGAGAAAAGAACACCTATTTTTATGCAGAAACCTGTACACAAATGTTTAGAGCAGTTTTATTTGTGTTTTCTCAAAATTGGAAACTACCCAAATGTTCTTCAAAGAGTAAATGGTTAAACTTACTTTGGTTAGTCATACCATGTAATACTACTCAACAATAAGAAGGAATAAACTGTGGATACACACAAGAATGTGGGTGAACCTCAAGGTAGTTGTGCTAAATGAAGAAAGCTAGTATCGAAAGTGTATATACAGCTTAATTCCATTTACATGGCATTTGCGAAATACAGTAACATAATTACAGAGATGGAGAGCAGATTAGTGGTTTCCAGGGTTTAAGGATAAGGATTAGGGAGGGGAATGAGTATAACAATTAAGGAGTAGCATGAGGAGTCTTGTAGTGATGGTATAGTTGAATATCTTGAGGCCACCCATGTGATAAAATTGCATTGAGCTGTTTACATTTGTAAATACACAGGTTAGTGCATGTATAACAACTGTTGAACTATATGCAAGCTATTAACAGTCTCCTGTTAGCCAGGCAATGGGTGAAGAGTCCATGAGATCTCCCTGTAAATTTTGTTAAACCTTCTAGGGAAATTATTTCATAATAAAAAGGTTTTCTTTTTAAAAGTCATCAAATGGGGCTTCTGGTCTACCTCTTGCACATACAGACTTGAAACAATCCAAATCAAAGTGAGAAAACTTGGGCCGGGGATTTAGCTCAGTGGTTTCACCACCTGCTGTGCAAGCACAAAGACCCAAGTTTGATCCCCAGTACCAAAAAAAAAAAAAACCACAAAGTGAGAAAACTTGGCAACTGAGGAGATTATTACTGTTCCAAGTTTTTACAAATCATAGGTCCTAGAGATCCACTGTATTATTTCAGTGGTACTCAGAATATAGATATCTTCTATATATACCAGCATCACCTAAGGAACTTGATAGAAACACAAATTCTCATTTCTCATCTCTGACCTACTGAATCAGAAGCTCAACATTGGGGTCCAGCAATCCTTGTCTTAACAAGTTCTCCAGGGGATGCTGATGTATGTGCAAATTTGAAATGGCCATTCCACTCCTTGCTCCACAAATCTGGTGATAGTAATGACGAAGTTTGTACTTTGAATCACCTGTCTTAATGGAGACCCTCTGGAAAAACCACAGTCCATCCAGGCCCCCAGGCACTGCCCCCTTTTCCCAAGCTGGCCAAGACTCACGCAGTGTGCTCCATGTTTAAGCTTCAACGAGGAAGAATCATTCAAAAACTGAAAGTCCTAGATAACTGAGACACAAGAGCTTCTACAACAGACATAATTTCTCCTAAAAGCCAAACCCTAAAGAGAATGTACGTTCCCATTAAACCTGGTCTAATGAGTACTTTAAATTGGAGGAAAATGATTATCTCCAGAGCTGTCTCAAACCTTCATCCTCTGCCCAGAACTGATGCTTGGAGAAGTGAGATTACTTTAAATCAGTAGTGCCTGAAGCACTGTACACAAGAGGCCCCAAACGTAAGCTTCACTGAGTATAAATAATAAGGCTAATCATACCTCCCTCATCTTGTCTTTATCTTTGGGCCTGGGAGGATCAAAGCCATCTGATATGTACAGCTTCAAAGGTGTCTCCTATCCCAGATCTGGGGATGGGCTAGTTCCAGTAGGCCTCTCCATCCTCAGTTCCCACATTTCACAAGCATTAGAGGCTCTAAATCATCCAGAGTGGTTGTTGGAGCCTTCCTGCCTACACCTCTTTTATAAGATGAATGGGACTAACTTCAATCATGGCATTGGCAAAGAAACCCCTTTTCTAGTGCAATGTGCCCCATTGTTTTGATTTTCCTCCATCCCTGGAAGCACCTTAAGGGGATACTTTTATGAATTAAATTGATTGCCAACAAATTTTGCTTTGAATATCTTTTGTATGTCTAGACATCCCCAGAAATAATTGGAGATTATGAGAGATATGGTAAGATGAGGATTGGAAATCGGGGAGCTGGTGGGGAAGCCAGGGGGAAAAAGAGGCCTGAGGACTAAGGGGAAGCAAGGAAGGTGAGGTCAGGCCTGAAATGCACCCAAGGCCTTTCCACTAAGCTACACCCCCAGGCCTTTTTTAATTTTTTATTTTGAGACAGGATCTTGCTACATTGCCCAAGCTGGGCTCAAACTTGCAGTCCTCCTGCCTCCGCTTCCCAAGCCACTGGTCCTATTTTCAATGTTCCCATCCTTCTCTGCACTGCTTCTCCCTAGGGGGGCCCAGATGTGCAACGGCCACTGCTGGACACGTGATGGGGATGGCAGTTGGCCTCACACCTGCCCCCACCACCACTGCAGACACATTTCTCTAACAATCAATCCTTCTCCCTCTGTCACCAGCCACTTAGATTCAGATGCTGAGGTCTGTCTGATCAACTCAAAGGAGGCCTCTTTATTTTGGTAAAAAGGAAAAAAGATTTATTGAAAGCTAGCTCCAAGGTGATGGGGGGCTCATTTCCCTCGAATCACCATCTCCCCAAGTACAGGTGTGTTGGCTCTTTTCTAGCAAGGAGCAGTGGGGGAGGAAATAGAAGGGTCCAGGCTTGACCCTCCATTCCCCAACCGCCATCAGCCTTTGTAGCCTCAGGAAAGGAAACAGGACTGAACCTGCCAGCCCCAACATTGCATCTTCTCTCCATTCATCAGGGCTGATCAGAGGTGAGGGTGGCTAAAGAAAACTGGAGAAGGTACCTATCCCTAACAGGAAAAAATCCAACTTTGAAAGTTCCATTTGGTGATGCCAGTGATACTTCCTGTACTGCAACCTCTCCCCATAACGCAGCTGCAGGGTCTCAACATGTGAACATCTCCCCCACCTTAAAAACCAGTGTGCGATGGAAGGCTGGGCATGTGAGAGGCCAGTGCCATGGGCAGTAAAGAGAATTTCCCACCAGTTCAAGAATACAAAAAAGTCAAGACTTTATTGATACACTGCAAGAGAAAACAGGCTCCCTCAGGGTGAAAGGTTGATTTTTATA